TATTACAAAATAATACCTTTATTTCAGAAGTCTTGTAGAGTCGTGGTACAGACCCTGCTTTAGTTCTAAAATGTTCTTATACTGGGGCCTATAATGAAGATAGAGAGTTCTACTTAAGCTGGCAAATTGGAGAGTTGATGTGGCATTACAAACATGGAACTAAATGTCAGAGTCAAGAAGAGCTGGGTTCGAACCAAGGCTCTGATAAAAACTGTCTATGTAACTCTGAGCAAATCACTGAATTTCTCAGTGCTCCCATCCCACCAAACCCTTCAGGTTAAATTGCACAGAAGGTGTCATGGGTGACATTCCTCACCAGGAACACCCGGCACTGATGGCTATTATGAGGGCACAAAGACCAAAGTGAAACCATTCTTTCCCTGAAGGAGCTTATGTTTTATCAGGGGAGAGAATGTCTGCCTAAATAGAGTGGTATAATGGGAAATATTTAACAATCATCTCTCCAAAAAGGCATGGCAGCTTTTAAATTTAATCAGCATAATTAACATTTTCTCCATTACTTTCTTATGTCTAGGGCTAGGCAATTAACAAAACAATTAAACAAGTTATCTGTAGCATTTGCAGATTTCCAAGGTGTAAATGACCATACTGGAAATTTAACAATCAGCCCTCACAAGCAAATATGATGTGTCTCCAGCATACTCCTGCCTATATAGGTACATACAAAACACACACATGGCTAAAAAGAACATTATCAAATAAGATAAAATCTGTGTGCGCTTAGCACAGTGCCTGGCACATGATAGGTGCTTAATAAATGTTTGTTCCTACCCCTCTCTTTACAATAAAAAGAAAAACAAAACCCTCTATCAAGAATTCTCAAACACGAAATCATGAATTTTCTATCAGGCATTAATCTTTATTTGCTCACCAGCTTTAACTTACACATTTGGAGTGACTTGGGGATCAACCAAGTGGTTTAACAGTAACGAAGCCTCTAGCAATGCCCTATCCTGTAGAAGAGTTTGAAGTCTGGGGATGTTCCTGGCTACCCTTGGCCTTCTTGGGTTAAAGAACCATAAAGAGCAAAACGATGAAAGAATGAGCATTTGAATGTTAATACAGAATGAGGGAAATGCATTTTGCAGATTGATAGCATATATGAAAAATCATACTAGTGAGTTGCACAAGGCTATTTATCTTTTTCTTCGTGTCTATTTCCTACTGATTTAAGAGCAAACACTATAAAATAGATTTTTATGCATTAGGCTAAAAAAAAAAGAAATAATCTAAAAATCCCAAATATTTTAAGATAATATAGAAGAAGATACACAAAGGACATAAGAAGTGATAGTTCCCCATATCAGCTTGACTTAGAAGAATATTATTGTAGTGATACAAGAGTCTGAGATGAAATTAGAACCCAGAGGTGAAAAGCTCATTTTAGGATCATCTGGACCAACATGGTAGACCAAGATTCTTTATCTACAAATTTGGGTAGAGTGTGGGGAAATTCAGTCCTCCAGATATTTGTTCTACACCATATTAAATATCCATGTATTTGGATTCAATTGGACGTAGAGATGATACGGGCATCTTTGGCTTTTCATTCTGAAGTTTTTACATTGTGCGTAAAGTTAAGGTCAGTTCAGTATTCTTACTTTGGTTATAGTTGGAACTAAGAAGCACATTTTCTAATATACCTTTTTTGGCAATAGAAGAGTGAAAATCCCTTACACCTGATCACATAAAAATGAGGAAATAACTGTAAAAGCAAACTCCAGTTCATTAGGTCAACAATCTAAAGACAGGCTTAACCTATCCTCAGATGTAGAGAGTATGGAAGCACTGCTCTCCTGGTTTTCTAAATCCCATCTCTCAGGAACACACATACATTTTGCTTTGGCAGGACAGGGGTGAGGTGAGAGGGGTAGTTAATTTATGGGAGTCAGTTGATCTAGTCTTCAGCTAGATTTTGGCCAGATCCTTTCATCTCTCCCTTTAATTCTTCCAAGTTTCTTCAATCATGTGAAAAGAAAGACCCTAAATAAATTTTAAGTTCCTTGCTCCATTATAAACTCTGCAACATGGAAATTGTATCTTATTCATCTATGTTGCCTCCTCTCCCCCTGGTGCTCAGTACAATATCTTGCACATAGCAAGTACTCAATAAATGTCTATCTAATGAATGAGTGGTGTAAATTATTGACTTTGGGGCCAATATCATACACATTTTTGTGCAAATGCTGTAACCTCATAACCCCGAAGGGTGAAGGTCTGCATTTTAATCCTGCAACTTTTGGGGTTTAATCAATGACTATTCAGATTATTAATACATTAGGATCCAAAGTAAAGTGAACACTCCATAGAAGAGAGAGGGGCCCCATTCTCCTCCACTGCTAAACTGAACATGAATAGTCACATCTGGAGACAAGCAAGGCAACCCAGGATGGCTTCAAGAGGAAATATGCATGGACTCACACAGGCTGGGGAAAGTAGTTCCCCTCCAAAGCAAGCAAGAAGGTCTGAACTAAAAGGAACCTGAATCATACTGCCTGCCATAGTTTATGATTTGGAAAGAGGTGGTTCGTTTGGTTTGGTTGCCATTCTAATGATTTTTGAAACTCTTTTATTTCCCAGTATTTATATACATACTGGTTTGTTAGGACTTAGCAGAATATTTGTACCTGGGGCTGTTTCTTATACATAATAGAGACTTTAACTAGGTCAAAGATATATGGAGTATAAAATATGAGCTGCTATGTGGGATCTTTTGTTTAAATTAGTGTTCCTTGGAACATGGAGAAACTGGAGAATTTAGCTGAGAGCTGCACCGTTTAAGTCCTAAGAATGTCACTCCACTCTGAATTTTGGTGTTATAATATATGTTTATATGGCAACATGACCAAAAAGTCATGGGTTAAAGGAGTTTCATCATATATATGAAACTAACTCTCTCTCTCTCTCTCTCTCTCTCCCTCTTCTGCTAGCTGATGGTGTTTTGTATGAACATCACTTTTGTACCTACTTTTAAATTCATATTTTAATTATTTGGTACATTTTATCTCCTCTGTGAGACTGTAAGATTCATTAGGGAAAGGACAGTATCTTATTTAACTCTGTATTCCCAGAACTTGTCATATAAATGTTTATGGGATTAAATTGAATATTTACAAATCACATATGGATATATATCCATATATATGAATATATGGAGATATATATATATATATATACACACGCATTACCATGATTCCAAAAGACTGATGAAACATACCTTCTATCTCTCGACTGAGAGATAGTTTAGTGCCATTTTTCACATTTTTTCTTTATCCATCATCTAAATAGAAATAGAAGATGGGTCACCCTCATCATACCCTCTGACTATTCTACCTTCTAACTTCGAGTCTCATTACTGTCCCTTCTCTCTCTTCACTGTGCAAATATTTCATTGTCTTCTCTAAACCATCTGACTAAACATATTTGGAAGCTTCACAGTTCAATACCTCACTTTTCACTAAACAGGGCAATGAGCAGTTAGACATTTTAAAATTTTTGTAAGGGAAATTTGTACATAAACATTTGCCTTAGATACTGTGAAGCTAGATACCACAGAATCACAGTATTTTTTAATTGGAAGGAACCTCAGCAGACATTTAATAAAACCCATACCTGAAAGGAATTCCCACTAATATCATATCTAAGAAGTAATTATGTAGTTTCTGCCTGAAGATTTCCAAGAAGAAAGAATCTACCACTCCTGGAAGCAGCATATTCCATTTTTGGAGAGTTCTAATTGTTAGCAAGTATTTTCCTGATATCAAGCTCATATTGGCCTCTTTATAACTTTCATCCATTGCTCCTGGGTTTTACCTGTTGTGACCAAACAGAACAAATGTCATGCCCCTTCCAGGACAGTCTTTCAAGTGTTTCAAGAAAGATATTATGTCTATCTCTACTTTACTATAGACTAAACATTCCCATTTCTTTAACTATTCTTTCTATGACAGAACCCTTTACCATCATGGTCCTTCTTCTCCCTCCTGCATCTCCCTCAGAGTCCCTGGACACTCTTCAATTTAGTGGTGTCCTTCTTAATATGGCACCCAGAACTGAACACAATATTCCAGAGCAAAGTATAGAGGAACTTGTTCCCAGAAGTTATGCTCCTCTTAGTGCAGCTCAACATTACCCTATCACTTCAGCTTTTTTGACTGATACATACATAAAAAGATACATTAAAAAGAAAAGGTTAAATGAGGGTAACTACATTACTCTAACATATCCTCTGCAGTTCATTCATGTAAAGAGTTCTTAGAGCCTCAAGGAAATATTAAAAGATACATTGAAAAGAGTAGAGGAAAGTTCAGAAGGGGACGCAGATGAGTAAGGCAGTGTTCAAAGTACCATGCTAAATTTAAAATTTACATATATTTGCAAAAATAAATAAACAATTTTTTAAAAAATAAAATACAATTTTTTTTAAAAAGCAAGCTGTATGTAATAGAGTTTCATGGTGTCATATTCAATCCTCTTTTTCTCTTCTTTATATAAAGAAATATTCAAATTTGGTGATATTTGTTAAGTTCACAGTAATAAAAAAAAAGTGTTCTGCTTGGTTTTTTAATGTGAGAGGAAGAGTTCTTAGGAAAGTTTCCTGCTGATCTTTGCTAATTAATGGTCATGAAGACTGTCCTCAAAGAGAAACTTAGGCAGTTGTTTGACTCCATGGCGTTGTAGACAAGGGTTATCCCATAAGAGTGAAGGGTCTAGGGCAAAAAATATTGTCAAAATGATTATAGTTTGTAACAATGAAAATTCCTAAAAATCCTTGTGATTCTTAGTAACTATGTCCTGGCCACCATGGTGCCTGGAAAGCTCCCTGTTTCTACTGCTACGACTACTACTACTACTACTACTACTACTACTACTACTACTACTACTACTACTACTACTACACACACACACACACACACACACACACACACACACACACATATATATATAAGTTTATATAATCATATAGATACATTTCCTACTTCCAAAGCCATATTCATCTGGTAATAATTCTTTGAAAGATGTTTTGTGACACTTCCTGCTCTTCCTTCTCTCCCAGATGTTCACCTTATGTGATCATATTGGGGAGGACACTAGTATCCATGGTTACTTTTGTGATATTCAAGAGACCCTCAAATAGAACACAATAAATTCATAACAAGTATAGCTAGAAGTAAATAGCTGTTCAGCCCAATCCTCCTGTTCCTAATTAATAAACAATTTAAGAGAATAGAGATGGCTTAGGTATCCTTACTCACACTTTGTAGGTTAAGAAAACTCTCCTTTCCTTTGCCCAAGTCAGGATTAGAAATAATTGGCTATACTAGATACCTACATTTGCTCGCTTTTCACTCTCTCTTCAGTCCCACACAATCTGGTTTCTGTTCCCACTACTCTACTGAAATTGTATTCTCTATGATCACTTTTTGTGACCACATTTGGGATTTTCTTGGCAAAGAATCCTTTTCCTTCTCTAGCTCATTTTACAGATGAGCAAACTAAGGCAAACAGGTTTAAGTGACTTGCCCAATGTCACACATCTAGTATGTGTCTGAGGCCAGATTTGAACTCAGGAAGATGAGTCTTCCTGACTCCAGGCCCAGCACTCTATCTACTGCGCCACCTATGATCACTAATGATCACCTAACTAAAACATTCAATAGCCTTTTTTCTATCTTTATCTTTCTTGATCTTCTGCAACTTTTGACAGTTGGTAATACCTTCCTTGTTAGACCTTCTCTCCCTTCTTGGATAGGGAGAAAGGAAACACACCATAACCTCTTGGTTCACTTCCTACCTTTTCATCTACTTTTCATCATTGTTCTTAATAAGCTCTTCAGTCTGCTACCCAAACCTTTAAACACAGGTTATTTCCAAGGGTTTCTCTTTGTTCCTTCTTTTTCTCCATCTTTCCTCCCACCCTATCTTGGAAATCTTAATCTATACTTTGGCTTCTACTTCTTCCTCTATGCAGATGACTTCCAAATCTCCATCTCCAGTCTTAATCTCTCTTCTGAACTCGACTCATACTTCCATCTACACCTCCAGTGTAAGCATTTTCTCGACAAGAGGCAACTGTCTAGTACAGAATGATTTGTGTTTAAGAATTGACCAAGAGATACCCACTTGAATAGTCTACAAGCATTTTACACTCAACATGTCTATGTCATGAAGCCAATCACTATCTTTCCCTTAACTCTGCCACCTCCTCTAACTTTTTTGTTTTTCCTTTGTAGCATCATTTACCCTTTATCCTGTGATTAAAACTTTCCTTTTAAAGGGCAACTAGGTGGAGCAGTGAATAGAGCTCTGGCCTTGGAGCCAGGAGGACCTGAGTTCAAATCCAGCCTCAGACACTTAACACTTACTAGCTGTGTGACCCTGGGCAAGTCACTTAACCCCAATTGCCTCACCAAAAAGAAAAAAAAAAGACTTCAAGGAAAACTTTCCTTTTGCTTTTCTTTCTGACTCTTCTCTCTCTTTCACTCCACATATGCAATCAGCTGTTAAGTTTTGTCAATAAAATAATCACAAATTCTCTGATATCTATTCCCTCCTGAGCCTTATCCTGTCCTTCATTATCCTCCACCTATAGATTATTGCAGAAGGTAGGTCCTAAACTGAGAATAAAGAAAGAAAAGAACTTCAACTGGCTCATTTTGTGGGTTGCCTACTCCATGAACCTCCTCTTCCTTGTTCTCTATAGCCCAAAGTAGGAGAATAAATTTAGAGCTAGAAGGAACCTTAGAGGTCACTTATTCCAATGCCCTTGTTTTATAGGTAAGTGAAACTGAGACTCAAAGAGGTTAGATCACCCAGGCAGTAAGTGGAAGAACCATTCTCCCTCTCCTCGAATTTTCCCATGGTATTCTGTCTGCTTCCTCACACACTACCTGGTAGTATTTATTATGCATTATATTTATTATATCCCTCCTAATATGTATTCCAGCCTGTGAACATTCACTAAAGCAGAAGACCTCAATACTAGTTCAGGGAAAATGCTATTAATTCACTTGGATTGGAGAGTAATGGAGACATAATGTTAAATTGGCCACAAAGGCAGGTTAGAGGCAGTTTGTGGAATACATGGCAGACTAAGGATTTGTATTTTTCTCTATAGGCAGCTGTGAACTACCGAAGGGTTTCAAGCAAAGGCGTAACATGGTCAGACTTGTACTTCAGAAAGATTATTTTTGGCTGCCATATCAACCACCCCACAAGCATTTATTCAGCATCTGTGTGCCAGGTACTCTGGTAGGTGGTGGTAACATAGGGACCCAAATGGAACAGTCCCTGCCCTGAAGGAGCTTACATTCTGTCGGGGTATAGAATATAGATACATATGAGTGTAGAACCCCTCTGAGCTCATTCTCCCAACTACCATAAGCACTGGCAGATTTTCCCAAGGGAGGATAATCCCCAGGGGTTCGAGTTTCTAGTTCTATTGCTTATGAGCCCCCCATTATTAATCAACCAGTAGAACTCTATTAGCTTTCAGAAATTAGTATTACTAAGGAAGGAAAGGGACAATAGTAGTTGTAAACACAATCCCCCCCTAAGCTGAGGATACACTCTCGCCTCACACACATGAGGTCCCCAGGAAAAGTGGGCTTATACTTAAAATACACAGGTAGGTAGACACAGATAGGTCTGAGGTGAACCACAAGACTCTAGTCAGACAGAAGGGGCTGAGGCTTACCTCCAGGCTCCTGGGCCTCCTTTTTTCCCTTGGAGTCTGCATGAGGTTCCCCTCAGGCACAGCTCTCTGCAGGGCTCCAAGGATCTGTCCCCTTCTAGAGTCTATAGTTTGCTTTTTAATCTGTAGTGCAGGAATCCCCAGAACCTGCTGCTATCCTCTGGTCATGACCTTTCCACCTCTGCCTACCAGAGTTTTCTTTGTCATCAGCCTCTACTGCTCCATTCAACATACTCTGCTGCGTGGGCAGCTTCTGCTACTGACTTGTGGTCAGTAGGACCTTTGATGATGCTAATGGATTTCCTGTTCACCTGGGTGTTCCTTTATTGAAATATTCATTCACCTAAGACCAGGAAAGAATAAACACAGAAGAGCCAATGTATTCATGTACTCACAGAACCAAAGTGACCAAGCAAAGAGATAGGGTGGTCAGCCTCCCTCATTCATGTAAACAGATCACAGTAGTTCCAACTCAGGTTCTTCCATTAAGGAAAAAGAGCAAAAAAGGGAGATTTGGGAAGAGGTTGATAGCTGAGGCTTAGGAGCAAATAAGTTTAGCAAGAAAGAAAGTGAGAAGAGAGAAGAGGACCCATGACAAAATCTTGGAGGACACCTACTCTCTTGGGGAGTAGTAGGAAGAGAGTAAATCAGAAAAGGAGACCAAAATGAAGAGGTAAAAAGCTATTGGTAACTTTTGAGAAAGTGGTTAGAATAGTGGTGTCAAAATATGGATTGTATAGGGTTAAGGAGTAAATGGTAGTGAGAAAAATGATGAAGCTGTTGTAGATTTCTCTTTCTAGGATTTTAACAGTCAGGGTTAAGAGAGCTATGGAACATTCAAAACTTAAGTGGTTCCCTATTATCTACTGAGTCATGGTCAAATTCCTTTACCTGGCATTTAAGGCTCTCTACAATCTGGCACCACTCTTCCTTTCTGTTCTTATTTCATAGTACTCCTCTCTACTTAATATTCTACAATTAATATTCCACATTTAATAGTCTCATCAAACCAAACTTCTCTTTGTCTCTAAACAAGCTACTCTCTTATTTCTGTGCCCTTGACTCATGTTATTCTGGAAACATCCTCCCTGTCCTTCTTTTCACTTACTGAATTCCTATCCTACCCATCCTCAAAAGCCCAACTCAAATGCTACCTCCTCCAAGAAGCCTTATCTGACATTACCCATAGGTAATAAATAGCCTTCTCCCTCAGATCCCACAGAATATTTTGCATCTTTCCAAAGAACACACCTTGTAATCTTGCACATTAAAGTCAAATGCTTTCATTGGGAAATGGTTTTTAAAAAGATAGTATGTGGGGGCACAATGGATAGAGCACTGGCCCTGGATTCAGGAGGACCTGAGTTCAAATCCGGCCTCAGACACATAACACTTACTAGCTGTGTGACCATGGGCAAGTCACTTAACCCCATTGCCTAACCAAAACAAAAAAGATAGTATATGATTTAGTGGGATATTAATGTGGTGTAAAAATGACAGTTAAGAGGAATTCAAAAAAATGTGTAGAGCTGCATACAAACTGATATAGATCAAAATAAGCAGAACCAAAAGAACAAGATGCCCAGTGACTACAACAATGTGAAATCACTGAAAGGAAGTCAGACTCTGAGTAAATGAAAAGCTATGGAAGTCTTGGAAACACAGAACAAAACATACCAACCCCCTCACAACAGAAACTCAGGGAATTATTAAGACAGAATATTATAGATGATGATAGATATTATCACAGTATGAAATGTTTTTGTTTAATTTTTTTCTTTTCTTTCTTTCTTATTTCTTTTCTTTCTTTCTTATTTCTTTTTTTTTTTTGATCCTTGGATCAAAAGATGGGTCAATCTGGAGGGACAATATGTGTGTTTGTGGAAGGGAAGGGAAGGGAAGACAGAGGAAATACAGCTACATGAATTAGAAAATCCTATCACATTGACAAGGAGCATAATCAAGGCTATGTTCTCAACTGGAGAGATTTTCTTATCTGGCCAATATATGCCAGAACAAAGAAAAAAAAATTCGGCAAACCAGGGCAGATATATCTTCCCTATGGAGATGTCATTGTGCTCATTCTCTCTTCTATCAGCACAGGTCATTCATAAATGAGAAAGGGTAGAACCCGGCACAAATTATATATTACACCTGTAATACACCTGTCTTCCCTCCCACTACTTCCTATTCCCTCTATATAACTGATTTCTTCACTTCCTCCAAAAACTGGCAAACTCATTCCTCCTTTTTGGCTTTTAAAGTTTTTTTCTCCTTGCCTCTCCTCCCCCATGCCGCCCATACCCTAGAATACCAAACTTTCTTTTCTCTTTCACCCATCCA